TGCTTGAATTTAAAGATTGAGCATTTTTCACAGCTTCGAGAATTTTTTCTTTGCCTTTTATAATTGTTCTGACCGACAATTCCGGTAGATCAAACTTCTTTGCCAATTCACAAATTTTCATTTTTGTATCGAAGTCTTTAATAATGTTAACTTTACATTCCAAAGATAAAGTTTTCTTTTCTTGTTTGATGCGGAAGAATCAGTTCTAATTCGTTTGGATGACATAGTAGAGTCTCTCGAGTCTCCGTAGATATAACAAACACAGAAATAAATAACACAAAATAAATTGTACCTATGCGTCCATTCTGCGCGACACCTCCGAGCATGTAAGCTGAACAATAGTGTGAGGGGAGTGAGTAATCAAAAGTTACGTGTCGCTCAAACAAAAGACGAATCGACGAGATTTGAAAATCGCGTAACTCCGGGTTCGCGTAAGTCGGGGTAGCGTAAGTCGAGGTGTTACTGTACATCATAATATCACATCGTAGTTATACTTCCGTTAAATACAATTAATGTAACAATGTAAATGTAAAACAATGTAAATGTAAATGTAAATGTAAATGTAAATGTAAATGTAAACAAAAAACAATGTAAATGTCAACTTTTACACCTGGGAGCTAAACATCTGTTAAGTTCTCAGGCCTAATAACGACACTTTCTCATCACCTTTCGACCTAATATCTCGATTTCAACATTATAACATTAGAACAGAACAACAAAGTGACGCAGTCGTCGCCCTTCCCTCTTGGATTAAAGTTAGCGAAATTTTCGGTGTGTCAGTGACAATTTCTGTGCTCAATCAGTACCCTGTCGGATTTTTCCCATTACTTTCCATTGTGCCTAGAAGAACTTTCTTGATCCAAACCAAGCCAGCAATCAAAATCCTCACCCTCAAGGTCCTAATCTCAACCCCAAGTCAAGAATCTCAATCAAGATATCATAAAAGATATTTATCGGCACGTGAAACTTCTGTAAACTCTCTCTCTCTCGGGAATCGGAAAAACCGTAATATCAAATATATCTAATATCTATCAAATCGTAAAAATGTATCAAAAAGCTAGCATAGTTAAAATCGAAATGTTGTATGGCCTCTCGTTACCCATTAAACAGTTGTTACGTTAACCCGTCTTTGAGTAAGTCACTTCCGGTGCGCTGTCTCTCCCTCCTTCCCGAATCTGATCGCTCCGTTACGCGACCGCTCGCATGACCTATCCGTGTCCGCCGAGACTCGGTGGTGTCATCCTGATAGGGCATCGAAGAGGTGCCGACCCTTCGGTCACATCTATAAGTGTGACTCCAGCTTTATCCAGATATCAAAAAAAGAAACTCGGACTGCTGATTTAAAATGGAAGAGAATTTACAGGATAGTGGATAGATTAGAAAACGATTGTGAAAGTAGTGGAATGCCAGATTTGAGTTGATCGAATGTACAGTACAACTAGACGATAAAGACAAACGAATCTCGCGAAAGTATGCCCTCAATATAATAGTTGGTCTCAGTTTTAAATCGTTGGTGAAAAAATATAAAATATTAATTAATTTGTACATTTTTCGTCCGATGGAAATTATCTATATATATATATATATATAAATGGACGTGTGTGTCCCTAAATTTCACTTTTCCGCCAAAACTACACATCGCACGTGAATGGTGTTTATATGTGGTAGTAGCCCCAAGTCTCCATTCGTGCATAGGGGTGGTTGCGTCTCGATAGCTATAAGTGTGCGGGAGGTATGGAGCTGAAACTGGTTGAAAGTGGTTTTCTATTTCGAATGTTATGTTCGAATTTGTTCGAATTTAATTCGAATATAAAATTCGAATATTGGTTCGATTATAGAACGATTGTAAACGTTCCAGAAACGTTGAAAATAGTTCGTTTGACTGGACGTAAAAGTTCTCTAATTAGTCTTGAAACGGGGGACCTAATTCTTGCATTCCGTGAAAACGGGTAATATTGGCTATAATGTACTTATCTTAATCTTCACTATCGTTACTTTTTGCCCAGCGAAGCGGGTCCTTGCAGCTAGTTTTTTAATAAAATTGAAGACAGTCTTTTTAAAAAAACACACTTTGTGTTTTTTAAGAAGTTTAAAAAGGACTTTTTAAACTTCTGGCAACAAGTAGCCTAAAAGAAAAGGTCCGTTGCCAAGAATGTGTATTTTCTGGAACACGGAAATAATAAATGGTGGTCCTTTATTGGGCAGACTGTATTCAATTTTATTACAAAATATTAAATAAAACTATGAAAAAAATGTTTGAAATAACAGAAGTAGACCTCTAGTAGACTTTTACCTTCTCATTAGAAGGCAAAAGTTTACTAGAAGTGAATTCAGCAATTGTCCACTCTCTTCAAAGGCACCAGAATTGTTCCCTTTACACTTGATTAATCTTGAATGATGAGAGTTACTATCCTTTCATGACTCCTCATTAATTTTCCTCCGAATTTCTTATAAACAGACAAGCAAACGGTCAGTAGTAATTCGGACAGATTTCTGATTGTTTAAAAGTCTTTAGTAGGGTTCATAAAATCATTGTCAGTTGCCGGTACCTTGATATTGTTTGCTACCATAGCCTTGGAAAATGAATTAATATAAGTTATATTAGTCTAAAAATGATATCGTTTGAGTAAAAGGAAAGGCTACAAATATTAGCATAGTATTGAACTTAATTGAATTGAAGTTTTATTAAATTAGATTGCAAGTAATATGATTGAAAAGAGAAATAAAAAGCAAAGTGAGGAAGTAAATACATTTTATTAAAATTTCAAATAACAAGTAAACTAATCAATACGTAAGAGAATCAGGCGTGAAGAAATGATTGACGCATTAGTTCTCACAGAAATCACAACATGCAAAGACTGGTTTTTCACTGAGCGCATTCCGGACTATCCTTTCGTGAAAGAACGCTTTATTTGATGAAAAAAAATCATTTCGAACATCCTTGCTGATGTTCGAAATTATTTGTTTTCATCCAATAAAACACTTTGTTTAAAACCATAAATTTGATAATTTGCTTGTAGCTAGTTGAAAAAAAGTACAGGTATACCTCGACTTACGTCGTTTCGAGTTACGTCGTTCCCGATCATACGTCGTTTGTCAAAAAAGTATATAGAAAAATGAAAATCAAGTTTAAGTCATTTTATTCGACTTTACGTCTGTCCGCCACAAATACTGAAGTCGCAATATCACTAGAAAAATGGTTAAAGCACATAAAATCATATTAAAATACTGTACATGCATTTGTAAATTTAGATTACTTTTTTGTGTACTATATTAAAAACTAAAATTTATTTGTTTGTAAGCTTAAAATTGATCCTTATTAACCATACATTATTAAAAATGCATTAATAAATAAAATACAGAACCAGAATTGGCAATTTATGGTTTAGCCTAGTGACAAGTAGATTTGGAGACAAGTAAATTCGACTTACGTCGTTTTTCNAATTTTAATGTTTAATTTTTTTTAAATCGTTTTATTTTGTATTTAAAAAAGTAATCAGAATCGTCATCATTATTACTTTCCTGGCTGTTATACAGTATAGGGCCATAAGAAAGGAAAAAAAATGACGATTCCCGGCTGTTATACAGTCAAAAAAATGATTTTCTTAGATTTTTACTCTTTTTGACTCGGGAATCCTTGAAACCTAGAGAAGTGCAAAAAAATTCGGGTTTGTTTCTATACGCACGGCTGTTAGAATGTGTACAAAACGATTTAGTGCAACCATTTTGAAGCTTAATAACTCCTGCGTTAAATCATCCGACTCTGATTCAAAATCGTGCCCCCACACAGTCATCCGTAAATACAGAAAAAAATCTAAATCTTTTGCATATATCGACATTTCGAGGTGTCCTGAGTCCAAAAATGTAAAAATTTGGGGTGGGTCATTTTTTGACCGATCGCTACACTTTTCCTCTGTTATATATAACAGCCGGAAAAGGAAAAATTATCAAACACATGTTTATATATTGACTACGTCGTTACTTACAGGAGTCTTTTAGCTTTGAAATAAAAAAATTTCTATGTTCTATCTTTATTAGAACTATATTTATTGAAGCTTATATTCTGAGGTCACGTGATGAAGTCAGAATTTCCGGGCCTATTTTGTTAGCAAGTCTGCCCGTAGTCGGAGTTGTATTAAAATCTACCGACTCCACAGCCCTGGAAAATAATCCAGTAAAATGATATGATAATACATTTCAAATGCAAGCTAAATGATTATTTTAGATATGATTTAGTCTAAATTATGTAAGATGTTTACAATGTTTTACTCTATTTTAGTGAAATAACGATTTTTATTGCAGACTTTGGAGATGAATGTGCAGTACATATGATGAAAGAAACATTTCATATTCAATGAAAGAAATGCCATAAAATTAAAGAACAACGTGAAAAAAGTTTCTACGGAAAAAATATGCTAATACGTGTCAATTCGTGCTATGTCATATAAATTCAAAATGATTTATTAAGTAATTAAATGTCGTGATACCTTCGCATTCGAATTTATTTTTATTCTTGTTTCGTACAAATCCATCTATACAGGAACATGTAAAATTTCCAACAGTATTAATGCAGTTCGAATTACTCCCACAAATATTTACATCAAGGCATTCATCAATATCTGTAAAAATTTAACTGTTACGTTCTATGTATTTTTTAAAAACTTGACAGCAAACAGATAAACCGATAAATAAAAGTTTTACCTTCACAATACTGGTACTTAGTACCGGGTTTGTAAAATGTCTCTATTGCCTTAAAGCCTTTATTACATAAACAATCATAGCCTGGATGCTTGCTTGTACAATTATTCGCTACTCCTGGGCAAAAGCTTTCTCTTATTCGATCGTCGCAATTATCAAATTCGACTATTTCGGCTAAAATTGAAAATTCCATTATGAAATAAGTAATACGAAGCTTATTGATGAAAAATTAATTAAAATTATACCAGTTTGTAGATCATTTACTGAAAGGATCAAGTTAGGATGAAGAAGACAATATTTAGCATCTTCAGCTCGATAACACGAGTGGCCTTTATTAATTCTTTCGTAACCTTTAAATTCTTCTTTAAATATTATCATTATATCGCATGCAACATCGCTATCCTTCAGACTATAAAATAAAATAAAAATATAAATTAAATATAAATTTAAATATATTTTAAATATAATTTTAAAGTAGATGCTACAATAATATTAAATAGTAGCCTATGTAGAGTAATCTAAATATATACGAAAAATTTCAATTCTTTTTACAGCTGAAATTATTCGAAGAATCAGCCGTAAAAGTCCATTTTGAACATGTATTTAAAATGACAGTTTTAAAGTTACAGGATATTTAATATGTAATCCCGTTGAATATGTTGACTAATTAAGTAATCGCTTAATTAGTCAACATATTGTATTATGAAACAACACAAGATTATTTCACAATACAGTACTTCACGCTTTTGTATTTGTGAACGCGTCAGCCAATCAACACGGCGAAGAATAGACTCCTGTGTTACAGTTAGCGGTGGTGACTTTCAACAGTTATTACAATAATGCCAAACATATGTTCACTTTTATGATTAAAATTATTCGAAGAATCAACTTCTTAAATTTTTCGCTTATATTTATAATCACTCTGCATCTTGTTTCANTTATTAGTAATTAAAATGTTTAATATAACTGTATAATATGTATAGAGCTTATCACACATTGGGCTATTTAGCATTTATCATATTAGTCTATAATTATAGTATGTGTATAGTGTATCCTCTAGATCAATACTAAAATGCATTTGGGACAAAACATTTTCGGCGATCTTCAGTTAAAATTTTTGGTCTACAATTATTTAATAAAAGGTTGTATAACAAGACTTATACAACAGCATGATATCTACCTGTTTAAAACACAATTGTACAGCACTACATAACCAAAGTTAAACATATCATATCAACAGACAATTAGCTGTTGTATGCTACCACGCATTTAATATTTTGATTTTACATTTCCTTTCCTATACGTGTTATTTCATTTTTATATGTATAGTAGATCCATTACATAATAATACAACATTCATACTTTTATACATACAGTAGTTAGTGAATACTTATTCACAGTCTCATTAATTCCATAATTAAAATGCCACAAATGTTCATACTTATGAGAATTTTGTTCCTTGAGTATTTTTTTTCGCATGTGGTTTATCTTTCATATATCGTTACTCTTTAACGTGTTTGCCCTAAAATTAATAAAAATTATTTAAATACAGTATATAAAATTATATCTAATAAAAGTTTTTAAAACAAATTGACCTACTGTATTACTCTATGGTTGTAATTCATTTGCAGTATGTTTCTAATTATGTAAGATCACAAATTTTAAGAACAAACGCTATTACTATTGATGGAATCTTAATTTACAATATTTATATAAACGTTCAGCTAACGTAAGTATTGTTATCTAACTTTCGCATATATATATACTATATATGTATATATTTATTTTGTAAGTTAAAATTCCATCAATAGTAATAGCGTTTGTTCCTGAAATTTGTGATTACTTATTAAACACTTATTAAATATAATTTTACGTATCTAAATAATTTTTATTAAATTTAGAAGAAAATGGCTTAAAGTATAACGACATATGTAAGATAAACTATAAACTATATACGAAAAAAACCGCTAGAAAGAAATTAGATATAAGTACGGAAAGATGTGATATTTTAATTATGGAATCAATGAGCCTGTGAATTACTAATTGTTGTATGTATAAAAATATGTGTTATATTATTATGTAAAAATGAATTAACATGTATAAAAAAGGAAATGTACAAGCAAAATATTAAATGTATGATGGCTGTCGACAGCTGATTGTATACTTATATGACATGTTTAACTTTGGTTATGTGTGTATTGCTGTCTAACTATATTTTGAACAGGTGGATGCCATGCTGTTGTATGAGTCTTGTTATACAACTTTTGTTATAAAATCAGTAGACCAAAAATTCTAACTGAAGAGAGCCGAAATGCATTTTAGTACTNTCGTAAGTTAAAATTCCATCAATAGTAATAGCGTTTGTTCCTGAAATTTGTGATTACTTATTAAACACTTATTAAATATAATTTTACGTATCTAAATAATTTTTATTAAGTTTAGAAGAAAATGGCTTAAAGTATAACGACATATGTAAGATAAACTATAAACTATATACGAAAAAAACCGCTAGAAAGAAATTAGATATAAGTACGGAAAGATGTGATATTTTAATTATGGAATCAATGAGCCTGTGAATTACTAACTGTTGTACAGTATGTATAAAAATATGTTATATTATTATGTAAAAATGAATTAACATGTATAAAAAAGGAAATGTACAAGCAAAATATTAAATGTATGATGGCTGTCGACAGCTGATTGTATACTTATATGACATGTTTAACTTTGGTTATGTGTGTATTGCTGTCTAACTATATTTTGAACAGGTGGATGCCATGCTGTTGTATGAGTCTTGTTATACAACTTTTGTTATAAAATCAGTAGACCAAAAATTCTAACTGAAGAGAGCCGAAATGCATTTTAGTACTGGTCTAAACTCTAAAGGATGTACAATGCATATCCTATAATGATAGCTAAATAAATAGCTTACTCTGTGATAACTGAATACAGTAGATATAACATAGTAGAATTAAAAATCTTAAATAATATCGGTGTTGAATATATTACTGAACTAAATACAGTAGCCCTTCTATAAAACGGGTTCATAGAGTTCGGATTTTTATATGACGGCGAAAAAATTGCGACCGTATTCGTATAAACACGCTAAAAGAGACTCGTATAATTCAGTAAAACGTCATCGCCGACTTGTGTCGCGACAGGATTGGTCGAATCTAGACCAATAGCGGGTATTGCATAAACCGTTGAGTTTAAACGAGCAGCGGACCTACTAAAAACCATGTATTATTTAACGGACATAAAAATTATTTTTATATTAATGATGTCTCCAAAGTTCAGCAAAGTTTTCGGAGAAAAATAATTTATCAGGAAGCACGCGAGCGCCATTCGATGCACCGCTCCACGACTAAAACAAGCTTAAGCAATGGCGTCGTCGAACGGTGCACATTCGGTATGTAATCCTACAATTTTTTGTTTATAGCATAGTTTATATGAATTATTCCCAAAAAATTATACGTGTTTTGGAAATTTTAAGTCAAATTAGTCTAGACTCGATCAATTTTATGGAAGAAAATCTTTCAAACAGCCGTAGTCCGTAAACTGCATACGTGCCGGGCTGTGATTGGCTCATGTATTTAAGGACTCATAGAAAATGAATTTCATAAAAACCGGAACGTATCTACCGTGTTATAGGGGGGGTCGACTGTGTTTAAAATAAATTTTAAATATTATAGTAAATACAGTTCATTAATGTCAAATATTTTTTATACTTCATTAAAATAAGTAAGGATTATATTTTCTGGAATGCTGTTATTCTAACGTTTCTATTTTTCACTATACAAAAATACAATTCAACATATGTTCATAAATTTATTATGCATTAATCAAGTACTTATGTAATTTAAAAAATATATTTCTAAATTTAAGAAAAATGATAACATAGAACAAAATTACAATAATTCATACATCGTATTTTATAGCTTGTTTATTAGAAAATTAATATCTTACGTAATTATTTGAACAAACATATTAAATAAAATTTTATTGAAATACTTTTTCTAAAGTAAAAAAAAAAAACAAACTAAAAAACCCTTTCCTATATATAAGCTAACTTCAAATCAGAATTATAAAATTTATTTTAAATTTTATAATTCTGATTAATTATTTTAAAAAAACAATGCGTTTTTTAAAAAAAGACTTTTCTACGGCGAAAAGCTACTTTGAACCAATTTTTCCTGAAAGTCACAGGTAATAAAGAATTGAGTCAATATTAATATCTCTGGCTAAGATGGATATAATGTGCCCTTAATTAAATTATGAAAAATATGCAAATTTTTTACAAAACAAACGTTGTTGCACCTGCAATAATTTGGCTGAATGTTAGAGAATCGAATTGAGTCAATATTAATATCTCTGGCTAAGATGGATGTAATGTGCCCTTAATTAAATTATGAAAAATATGCAAATTTTTTACAAAACAAACGTTGTTGCACCTGCAATAATTTGGCTGAATGTTAGAGAATCTTTGAGCAATATTAGTGAAGGAACTTTAATGCACAAAATAAACCACAAAACCTTTTTTTGTGACGATGCTTGTTTTCTTGATTAATACTCGTAGATCAAGAAAACTAACATCTTCACAGAAAAGCATTCACAAGGAAATTCATCGTCACAGAAAAGCATCGTCACATTCTTTAATCAAAACTTCCCGTCGTAGTCTGTGTAATGTGCACTTCATTTACATATTGATTTTTACTGGTCAAATCTGGTTCCAGTATTTTTATGCCACAATTTTCAAAAGCTTCTTTTATTTAGATGTTTACGCTGAGCTTTATTTTTCAACTTGCATCTACAATTTTTTTTATTGGATTTCAACTATTTCTGAGTTATCAATAACTTTTGAACAGTATAGATTTGATGATAATTCTATATTCACATAACGTTAATGTAATAGCATGAAGTAAGTGGTTACACGACTAATAAAATGTAACAACGAGGGTTGTTACAACTTTAAAAACGCACTCGAAAGAAGCTTCTACTTATTGCTTCTATTTTGCCAAGCAAAAATTTCATCGTTTTCTTTTGAGCAAGTTTTTGGTTTTACATTCTCGTCCTGTTATATTAACACGAGAAAGTATTAAAATAATGTCCGATTTAAACCTCTTAGATATTTTTGCAAACTTTTACTTGACATCTCTAAAACCCCCGAAAAAATCAGAAAAAAATTAAAAATTCCGTTGATACGTATTTGTGTGTATGTATTTGTGCATTGATGCTGTTAAATTTTGGTTTTTAAAAGTCGAGAAGCGGGAGAGAGGGGAGGTCAAAAATCATATTTGGAGTGAAATCGAAGTTAATGGCGAATTTACTCATTATTAAAATTTACTTTTTATAAAACTCATCTCTACCGCAAAATTAAACTTTTTAGTATTTTACAATAATTCATAATATAAAAAGATTTGTTAATAAAATCTCATAACAGATGGCGCCACATACAATTTTAAATTTGTTTTCGGGAAAGTTATGCAACTCGTTGCTGTCTGTTCTATAAATCATTTGGCGCGTATTAATTAATAGATCAAAAATTAAACGCAAAACATGAAGTCAGGCGATGATTATCTGAGATCACATAAAAATTATTTTCGCGTGATAATCACGCGATAAACTGAACCTCCTCATTTCACTTGACATCATGAACAATGATATGTTAAAAATTTTAAAATGAACAATTACTTATGAATACATAATATTTTTAAATAAAACCTGTAAAAGGACAAATACAGTATGTGGAAGTCACATTTCTAACGAGCTGGTGTAAACATTGGCAAATTCGTGATAATATTAATTATTCTCTAATTATCGACTATATATTTCGTAAATGGACATGTTAACAATAGTATTAAAAGGATCATACTCTCAAGATAACAGCATGGCTTTTTGTTCTTATGAATATATTTATATCTTAGTTTTAAGGAGTATATTTCTTATGTTGCGTACAGGTAATTATTTCGTAATATTATTTGATAATTTGTGAGAAGGTCCTTTAGAATATATATTTGACCTCAATTTGAAAAAAAACTGTAGACCTATAAATGCCCACTTATCGTTTGTTTGTATATTTGTCCTTCGTTAATCTCGAAAACAGAGTTGGTTAGATGAAAGCCGAGACCAGCTAAGGAACAAAAAGCCCGATTAACTATATAATAACTTCCGATGCAAACCGGAAGTCACGTTAGATTAATTCGAAATTTTTTTCTCAAAGGCGTTAGACGACTGAATCGCTAATAGAAAAGTATGAGGTACAGGAGCAAGACACTGCTAATTTGAGATAGAGAGCATATATTTTAAATTAAATAAATTAAAAATGTGATTTAAAATTGCAGCCCTGCATTGTGACGATGTCACAATAAATAATTGATCATATATTGAACTTTCTAAAAAATTCTCCGGACTTCAAAAAATTTATCTTTTTCACATTAACAATACTTTGATGACATTTCAAGTAATAATTTTGTGATATATTGGTTATTTTGTGATACTTCCTTTTGGACCTAAAAATATGAA